TTTCCCTAATCCGTTTTTATGTTATTGTTTTTTTTATTATTATTATTTTTAAAGACCGTTTTCATGTTATTTGCAGGTACAAAAAAGTGGCTTATTTGGACACAGATGTTGGTCAGCCTGAGTTTACTCCTCCTGGTTTTCTCTCTTTCACTGTAGTTGACAAACTAACTTCTGGTATACTTTTTGTGATCTGATTTATAAATAGTATTAATGGGCGTGTTGATCTGTATGCTTTTGGCGTTGGTGGTGATTTTGTTCTATTAATGGATATGATTTGTGTTTTTCTTTCTTAAAAACAGATTTGACAATTCCTTGTCTCAAAACACCAGAGAGGTACACAATACTAATTCGTTTTACTAGTTAATAGCGTTTTACTTGGAAAACTAGGCAATTTCTGTGGTTGTTTGAAGTTACTGAAAAAATACATCTTGATTCTGATTACAACCATATTCTTTGTTAGATCGTTTTTCTTCGGCGACGTTTCCTCAAAAAGGGACCCAACTGCATACTTGACTTTTATATCTACACTGTACGATCACTATAGAAAGGAGTACTGCACATCCAATAACACTGAAATCCCCAATAAGACTGAATTGCCTCTGGTTGTGAATACTCCAGGATGGGTGAAAGGTATCATACTCGTAGTTATTTGAGACTTTCTTATTGGATAGCGAAATGACAAGTTTTACTCGATGTTTTATATGTTCGTGATGAGACTATATTGCATTTCATCTTTATCTTGCGTGCAGGTGTTGGTTATGACATATTGGTGAATATGTTGAAGTACATTGCTCCAACCTATGTTGTTAAAATAAACATATCTGCTAAGAGTAAGAATCTACCGGATGGCGTGTTCTGGTTAGATGGCAGTAATGAAGAGATGGTTAATCTAATTGAGATTAGTTCAGCTCACGAGGATTCTTTTAAGAGATCGTAAGTTTAGCTTTTCTTATTAGATGTTAATAAATGAGTTAGCTTAGTTAGAGATTCATATATGCTAATTTAGTAGTTTTTGACTTTGTGTTCTTGTAACATTGCTCATGTAGGACTTATTTACTTCTTTTCTGTTTCGGAATTTCAGGCTTTTCTTTCTCGTCTCTTAATAAGTTATCTCTCTGTGTCCTAGGCTTCTGGTTCGGAAGGATGCACACCTTTTGCGGGATTTGCGAATAATGGCTTATTTCAGGCAGTGCTTTCCAAGTAATCTGAACATCACTACTATCAAAGAACTTGCGCATGCACTGACGTCTCAACCTCCATATGAAGTTCCAATTTCAAGCATCACAATTAGACATCTCTATTGCCAGGTTGGTTCTATTTGTTGATAGATTGTGTTGCTGAGAGTTTTTGCCAAAAATATATGTGGGGCACATCGTTTTACGACTAGTGATATACATTTTGTCTCTCATTAGTATAAGATCTTTATGTTTTATTCCATATTTTCAAGAGTGATAGTTTGAATATCTTGCTTTTACTTTTATATAGCAGCAACAAGGAAATAACTGTTAAAAGTTGCTAATGATATTATTGTAGATCCCAAGTACCGAGATCTTCTACAGTTTGAATGCAACCATAGTCGGCTTGGCAGTTAGCTCTGAGGGCTCTGAAAATTCACCTTGGTGTGTTGGCCTTGGTAGGTTATTTCTGTAAATATGTCACTGCATAAATTGGCTCTATCACAGTTTATTTTATTAATTTATCACAATCTTATGGGATATTGGAGTTTACATGTTCCGAGTATTCAATGAAATTAAGAGCCACTCTTCTATTTTAGATGTAATGGTAGCAAGAAATCACATTCCGTAATTTTGTTATGCAGCTAGATAATCCTAAATTTCAGGAATCTTTTTTTAATATAATATGTAACTGTAAAGATATTTCTCATGAGCTCTCGTGATTGTTTGTGGGGAGACTTTACCATGTTAGCGTAAGAGAATGACATCAACCGTGCTTATGTACCAGAAGGTTTCGTCAGCTCATCCCATTTTATATTTATTCCTAGCAATTTTACCTTCTAGGGACTCCCTGCATAATATTCTGAACCCACTTCATCCCAAAACCTACTCAGAAATTTTTTTCAACATTGATGATATTCTGATTGTAGTTAAATAAATAAAATTCTTCCTCCGCCGGAAAAAGTTCTTTTTTAAGTAATGACGGTATTCATCTGTTTGCTTCTGGTGTAGAAGCATTGTTCAACAATGACGGTAACACATTTTGAGCTAATATCTCATGCTGTCCTTCTATTTGATGTCTTTATAAACCAGGGATTGTGAGAGGTGTTGACACGTTCAAAGGTTTGCTATACGTCATTACACCGGTTCCGCCGAGCACTCTGGAAAAGGTTGATTTATTTCTGCAGGGTTTTATCCAAATTCCCACTGGTTTGTTGCAGGTAACTATATGCAATATACCTTCCTGTCATTTATGCATTACTTTGCTTAAGAATCCCTTGCATTCTACGTCGGCTCTTGCTCGCTCCATATGTTGGAAAATGTTACAATGTAGTTTAACTTATGCATATACTCAATACGATATACTTTCCTAGCTTTGAGCCAGTATAGAGACACTAATAAACATAAGAGCAGACTGTTAAGAGGAATCTGTGCTGTTCTATATGCACAAAATAGTTACATCTTTGTCAGTTGACTTGGCTGTAGTTGTTTTAAGTTATCTGTTAAAATAAAAATTCTCTAACTTAAAGTGCTTTTCTGTTCGTTTAGTTTATGACATAGAAGTTCATTATGCAGTTCTTATATAAATCAACTTATTTATTTATTTATTTCCAGGTTCAGGGTTGTGTATCACCTTACATGTCGAAAAATGTTTTGTCTACAAGCTAGCTTTTATAAGCACTTGTTTGTTGACAAAGAAAATTTCCTACTAACTCCTTTATAACAGTTAGCCAAAAACCAAAGCTGTTTCAAGGTTGCGCAAGAAAAGATGGACAGAGTATGTAATCGGTGTCAGCTACCGCTTACCTGTTCGTATTGTTCCTATACTGTATAATCTTTCTTCCGGACTTGAAATTAATATTTAATAGCGAGTAAACTATATAGAGCAAACTATGGTTGTAAAAAGACTTCACTTCAATGAAGAATTCAATACTTAGTGCCCCATTCGGTTTGCATTCGATACATTGGATCCGAACAAAGTCAGTTTCAGCATCATCAGGTTTTGAAGCAAGTTTTCTGCATGTTCATGTGAAGCCTTTCCTGTCTTTTCATTTTAAGCCATTCTATTGCATTTCCTGTCTTTTCATTTTATGCTTATAAAAGTTCTCATTTCTTGTCAGTAATTATCACTAAATTCAGCACAAATATTAAGGTACAAAGGAAAACCTCTCCTTACATCAGTAGATCACATTGCCAGCGCGAAAATAATCCGTGCATAGAGAGATGGAAATGCTGGAACATGAAACCACAATATTATATAGAAGCCTGTAAGATCGATATAAATCATAATTAATGCATGGTGAACATGAATAAAAGTAGTTCTTACCCCTCTTGCTAGCTGTTAGTTTGAATAAACTTTCTATAAAAGGAAATTGAGATTTATTCCTACTTTCTAAAGAATATGAATATATATATATATATATATATATTTGATAAGATTTCTAAAGAATATACACATATTCATATACCAAGTCTCAGTAGCAGGCTAGCAGCATAAATTAATTAGAAAACATTCCATAATTATGGTCTATGTTTCATTGAAATTTAATTTCTTCCCCTGTTACTTTGATAATAAAAAGGTAGCAATTTTAAATACTTAGATTACTTATTGAACATAATTTTAAATAATATTATATATTGAACAAAATAAACTTAAAACAAAAAGAAAAAGACACACAATCTTCTATTTGGGGAATTATTTTTTCCCATTTTCGAATTTTTTTTAGTTTTAAAGTCTATTTTGTTTACTTTTTATCAACTAATGTTTAAAATATTACCGAATACAAAAACTAGTAAATTATTACTGTCTTGCAAAAACGATGGCGTTTTCCCCCATTATCCAGTTGGTTGTAAACTGCATGGCAGACCGTTATTTCAGGTTACATGCAAGTTGGTTAGCCTCCATTCCCAGATCATCAGCCTCAAAATTTTCCATGAATAGCAATACCAAAATCCCACCACCCAAAAATTCCTCCCAAAAGAACCTTCAACTTTTGACCCCCCGAAACCAACCATTTCTCCTCCCTTTTTCCCCTCTTCTTCTTCCTCCTTTCAGAAACACCACGTTACCATTAGAGAAAAAAAGATCATGATCATCTAAATCATGATCATGATCTTCTTTCTCTTCAATATCCTCAACAACCCATTTCCCGAACCAGTATAACAATCCCAAATCCCAACAAAAAAGAGCCCGAAAAAATGGCGAAACGTACTTTCAGTCGTTTCGTCGAACAGGAGGTGGGCAAGTTCCCCCACTTCCTGCTCTACGCCGTTCTGGAATGGATACTCATAATCCTCCTCTTCATCGACGGATTTCTAGCGTTCATTGCCAACGAGTTCGCCAGATTCTTCGGCCTACAGACCCCGTGCCTGTTCTGTACCAGAATCGACCACGTCCTTGTGCACCGCAGCCGAGACTTCTACTTCAACGACTCGGTCTGCGAGGCCCACAAGAAGGAGGTCTCGTCGCTGGCATTCTGCCACAACCACAAGAAGATCGCCGACATAAGAAGGATGTGCGAGGTCTGTCTCCTCTCCTTCGCCGCCGACAAGGCCGACTCCGAATGCGACACCTACAAGTCCCTCGTCGGGATTCTGCAGAAGGACCTGGAGGAGAACGATGATCATGATGATAATCATGACGTTATTCGCCACAGGATTCAGCTCGGTTTGGGTTTCGAGGAAATTAAGGCCGGTGGTCTGCGGTGTTCGTGCTGCGGGGAGGCGCTGAAGACGAAGAAGGCGGCGGCGTTGAATAACAATAATATTGGCAAGGGAAGACAATATTACGGCGGCTCTCTGTTGTTCTCGCAGGCTCCGGCGCCGTCGCCTCGGGCGATGTTCTCGAGGCTCAGAAGTAGTGGTGAGCGTAAGCTTATGCCCGAGAATGAGGCTGAGCTTCTTCCTGAGTTTGAGAATGGTTCGTCGCAGGCTGTTACTTCTGAGAAGTGTGAGTTTTCCTTTCTTTCTGTTTCCTTTTGTTGTATTGTTTATTCCTGCGAGCCTTCTAATATTCTATTCATATTTCAATTAATATTGTTTTAAAAATGTAATAAAAAAAACAAAACTAACTACAATTTTCACCAGAAATGGAGATAAGTACCCTTAAAAAGTAAGAGTCTTAGATTTTTATCTTTATAATTGATCAATACTCTTTAGTAAAAAAAAATTATATTAGTTAAAAGGATATTAATAAAAAGTAAAGGATAAAATTTAGAACAATGCATTTAAAAGATAAGTTTCACCAATTTTCTCAATTTTTAACACTTCGAAATGATACTATGTAATCTCTACTTGTAGGATATTTTCTTTACGTAGAACTCTCATTATTTCATTTTGCAAAATATTTTTTTCCTCTTAATATTTAGGTCCCATTTGGTTCACAATTCGGACTGAGACTAGAAAATATGACCTCTTAACTCATATTTTTAGTTTTGTACAATTTTCTTAGAATTCTGTACTTTTGAGTTAACATATGAAAAAGAGAAAGCGAGGACAATTTTTTTTTGTTAATTAGTGTGGTAAAAAAATTGATTTGAATCAAATATTCCAAGTTTCAATCACACTTGTAATACTTCCGAATGTTTGGACTAATAAAACTTAGAAATAGTCTCATCGGTCTCGAACCAAAAAAAAAAAAAAAAAATTAAGACAAAAATTTCATGAATTGAAATTTAAGTAGAAATATCCTTTGTTCATTTGATGTGTGAAGGGACCTAAAGTTAAACTAAATTGTTGATCTTAATTTTGAAATTCAAAGGTTAATTATTTTGGGATCCAACATTCCACTAGGTAAAGAGCAAATTTGTCTTCTTAATTCAATTTTATAAGAAAGGGTACAAGTCTAATTTTCTTGGGGTTCTGTCAGTATAATATGGACAAAAACCAAAGAACCGTCAATGTAATTTTTCCTAATATGTATATCTAGCTTTCTTATTTATGATTTATTTTTTTCCTTGCATGATTTGTATGAATTTTTATGATCCTTTTCAACCATTCATATTAATGTAAAACATGGATTTTGTGGACCAGTGAGGGAAGATGTCAAAGCTGCTATGGTGCCATTACTAACTGAAGCTGATGAATTGAACGATGAAGCAAACAAGACCCCAAGTTTCGTTAGAGGAAACAAGTTTTTCGGAATCCCACTCACAGATTCAGCTTCAAACAGTCCAAGGCTTGGCATGAGGGTCTCAAGGAAATCGCCACTAGAGAAGACAGAGTTTGCCTCAGAGTCCATGGAAGGGATTAATGTTCAAACGAGTACAAACGACACAGATACAGACTCCATTTTGCATGGCTTGAAGAGGCAAGTCCGGTTCGACAGGAAGTCACTGATGGCCTTGTACATGGAGCTCGACGAGGAGAGGAGTGCGTCAGCGGTGGCTGCAAACAACGCAATGGCCATGATAACGCGGTTGCAGGCGGATAAAGCAGCCGTTCAAATGGAGGCTTTGCAGTACCAGAGAATGATGGAAGAACAGTTAGAGTATGACCAAGAGGCTCTACAAGAAACAAACGAATTGCTCATGAAGAGAGAGGAGGATATCAAGGCTTTAGAGGCGGAGCTTGAGGCTTATAGAGAGAAATACGGGTGCTTGAAGGAAGAGGGCTTCACTGCATACCAAGAGGAGAATGGTGATAATGATGACCGAGAGCCTAAAACACATTCATACTACTCATCTGAGAGCGGAAGAACTGAAATAGGCAGCTCCCCTTTGAGCTTCGACGAAGGAGAGGCTAACGGGGAAATCGAGCACAATTTTGACGAGTCTGTTCCACCACCATTGGAGAATGAAGAAGAGGAAATCAGTGGTGAATCTTTGAAAGATTTTAAAGAGGAGAAAACCAATTTTCTTGGCAGGAAAAAGCTGGACAAGAAAGATAACGTATGTGAAAATGGCATAGACAACGAGACAGGTAACAAACATGGACACACATTTACAGACATGCAACATACATAAAATTACTGAATTTTGTTTGTGGTTGATTTCTATAGCGGAAATGGCATATAAAAGCGATAAATTCCAAAATTCTAATATATCTGTCAAATGATGCTGACAGAAACTAGCTCCCCATAAATTGGAAAGTGGTGGAAGATGGGTGTCTCATTCACTTACAGGTGATACCAAACGATAGAGCTACTTGTACAGCTATTTCTTGTTAATGGATAAGAAAGTTATAGGTTGGTTTCAATGGTGTTTCTTTTTAAGGGTTGAGAATGGTCCCTTTACAGCTACGGTCTGTGATGCATTTGCTTTCTTTTTGTGTGGATTTTATATTTGCATATATTCATTCACCAAAAGGAGGACAGTTTCTTGCTGCTAACTAAATTCAATGTGTTGGGCTTTATACCCTGTTCATGATTATGATTTTAACATATAAATGTAGAGGGGGGACAAATATTAACTGGGAAGACAAAGCAGCATGCCAGGTTTGTGGTCAATTTTTTTACTTTCAAAACCTCGTAAAGTGTAATTTCGGCCTAGAAAATACCAAATTCCAAAACCTGCAAGGGATTTAGAGGGTTGTAATGATTGTTACCAATTGTAACAATGTTTAACAACAATAAACACGTCTGGGGAATGGAGTAAATGACCTTGTTTCAAGTAAAATAACAATATAACATCGGACATGGTGGCTTAAATAAATCCCAAGAACTTGACATTTCCGAAGGAGATGGGCAAACGTAGAAACACATCACTAATTTGAAGAGAATACATATGAAATAATTGACGTTTCAGATGTTCCATTGTTCATTTCTCAAAGTTGTAAAGCTCAGAATCGCTAGTAAATAGAAACTATTGTTTCATAAAGAATGCAACTAATGTGAAAGATAAATTGTTATTCTTGTCTTCGTGAGCTTTCTAATACAAGACAAAGAAGCGCCTATGAACTATAACGGTAAATTCTATAAACTCATCTGAACTTGACAACGGAACAATATTAACCAACATAATAATGATGCAAACGTTTTTGCTGTTTTCTTTTTTCCTGAATTAAACACCAAAACTCCTTTTTTTTTTTTTCCTGCGAGACAAATCTACAAAAACACGACACAACAAAACAAAAATTGCCAATGCTCGGAAAGTTAATGTGAAGGGAATTACAAAAAATAGTCGGGTGTTCTGCGAGTCGTATCAGGCTCAACCTGACGGGGTGCTGGATCGAACTGAAGGAAATTCTGCTCCATATTCTCTCCAATCTCAAGAATTGCAGCCATATTTCCACATCGGTAGCAGTAATTCGGAGCACTAAACACTGTCACCACATTCTTTTCCTACAAATAATTCAACAAATTTCAACATAAATACACTCCAAAAGCACGAAAAGGAAGATACGATTTTGCCTCACATTCACTAACCTGACACCAATTATAGCCTTCCATAACAAGCTGGTGAGCCCTAGATATTAGAGTGAGCCCATTAGTGTGGTTGAACTGCGCAGCAATGTCCTGCCCAAATGTGTATCCAGCACCCCGAGGAGATATTCCCCAGCCGCATCGATCATCCGGGTCAGACCACAGAAGGTCGCACATTGGGCCCTCATGAGGAACCTACTCCATCAACGGGGAAAAAAAGTTACAAGACAGCATTCGGACATTAAAGAAAGTTTACTTAATGAACTAAGACCAGTAAATTTTCCTTATGTACAACTAGAACTATTTGTTTACCTCCTGTATCCTGTCCAGAGCACGAATGTTGTCTAAAGTGTCTAAAGAGGGAGAGAGTCCACCATGCAAGCAGAAGATCTACACGGAAAATCCCAATGCTTTGTCAAATGCAATCAAAGAACAATATTGAGGGAAAAAACCAAAGAAAACAAACCTGACTCTCAATCAAGGCTGTAAGGGGCAGATAATCAAAAAGGTCAGTGAAGTACTTCCAGACATTAGCATTTCCATATTTCCTTAAACACTCATCATAAAAACCATACCTGAAAGCATGAAAAAAACAGAGTAAATTTCTCTTGATTACTGTTGTACGTTTCAGATCAACACTCACTTTCACGCGAAAAGCAAACAGATCTCTCTAAATAGTTATTCCACACACTAATCATGATCAATCACCACTTAGGAAATTAATGACATGTTTGGTAAAGGGGTGGTTCAAACTCCGGTTCAAATGGTTCTGCTAGAGTGGTTTTTTCTCACAAAAATTTTGATTTTGGTTCAAACCATCTGGTTTAAACCCATGAACCAAACGGCCCATAAGTGTCACCATAATGAGCAAAAAGGGGTGGGTTTATTCTTCAAAGATACTCAAAGGACAAATAACAAAAGTGAAGGTAGAGATTAGATAAAGTTATTGAACTTGGAAATGCTAGTCTTACACTTGAGTTATTTGCCGACTTTCATGATTTCCTCTCAGAATTGTGATTCTATCTCTATAACGTACTTTCAGAGCTACTAGAAGCGAGACAGTCTCCACTGAATAGTATCCTCGATCTGCATTAGTTAACAATACATATAGCAATTGTTGAGAACTTATTAATACATTCAAAAAATTGCATCAAGAGATTAATTAAATGAGAGTCGACGCTTCACAAGTTCAGAGTAATAGACACATCCATAAGTTTAAGTTACAGCCCTTCCCATGGATAAAAGTATTCTCTTAGTTGCAACAGCAGTTTGATTTTGGATTTTGGCTGTTATTTATCTTTTTTAATCACACCTCATACCTCTCGAGAACCAGAGTAACCAAAATGGCAACCCATAAACCAAACAACTTTGATCCAAGCTTGGTCCGTCTACTCAGTTCCCGCTATTAGAATATCATATTCATTTCCCTTGAATGGAAACATAAAAAAGAATCCCCATGATGAAACTTATCTAGTTGACTTGAGATGAAAGTCAAATTTTAACAACACAAGCAAATGCACAGAGAGAATTCATCATCAAAACGACAAAGAGGCTTTCCGTAGCATCTATACCAAAATTAGAACACAGTAGTAGGATTCAATGGTCTAGTTGCGACCTAACCGCAATGAGAGCTAGTTTCTTCCAGCTTCTTTGGCAATAATATCTAAATTCGTACTTGTAAAAGCAACATTTCAAAACTACACTACTACAGCTATTCATGGTTATCATACCAAAATTGTGCCCCAAAATAAGACTATTACCAAGTTCTAAAATCACTGAATTTCTCATATCCAGAAGCTAATCAGGCTTCGACAGATCGCATTTCCCCAAAAATCTCTACACCGTCAGAGAAATTACACAAAATCCGAGCAAAAAGAAAGTTTAGATTCCCGAGAAAAGCGAATCGATCAAGACTGACCTACGTAGTCACCCATGAAGAGGTAATTGGTATCGGGAGCGCTGCCGCCGATCCGGAAGAGCTCGACGAGATCGTGGAACTGTCCATGGATGTCGCCGCAGACGGTGACGGGGCACTTCACCGGCTGCACATTCCACTCCTCGACGAGGATCGCCCTCGCCTGCTCGCACAGCGTCTTCACCTCCGCCTCTGGCAGCGGCTTGCACTGCATCAGGTGCTCGATCTGGCGGTCCAGATCGGAATGCGACGGCGGCATCGCGCGGCCTTTTTCTCTCTCTCTCTCTGCTCTGTTTCTCTCCTCGCTCGTTTCTCTCGATCCGTACAGATGGACTCGCCGGCGGGGCTGAGGTTCAGGTCATAGTCGCCGGAGAGGAGGTGAGGAAGGAGATTAGGGTTAGGTTTCGGTGGTTTTGAGGCGAGATAAAGAGGAGAGAGAGAGAGAGGGGAGGAAGGAGTGAGAGTGGGTTTGGTTTTTGGGGACTCTGAAGAAGCTCTTAAGTTTTTGTTACAGGTGAGAGATAGAGAGAGAGAGAGAGAGAGAGAGAGAGAGAGGCACATTTGTTATCAGAATGGAGATCTTACACGAATTGGTCCCTTATGTTTTGTGTATTCACGTTCTTGTCCTATGCGCTTTGGAATTTTGTATTTGTATCCCAATGAAATTATAATTTATTAATAAATGGTTAACTTTCAATTTTGAAATGGATTTTTTTAATTGGAAATTAATAAGACGATAATGGAAATAGCTTCTTTTTTTTTTTGGGCAAATGCGCTGTATTGATCGTCTCAGAAATATATGTGTGTTTTTTGGGTGTTTGTTAAATTTGTAGGCCAATTAAAAAATGCATCTGCAATTAAAAGTTAATTGTTTTGTTTATAACGATAAATAATTTATCAAATCTATGTTGGCATTTTTGTAAAATCTACATTGAAATGTTTATTTTAATTGAGCAAAAAAAACCGTCGCAATTAAAAAAAAATACTGGGGCTTGTTGTTTATCTTGTTTTATCCTGTAAATAGGACTTTAAAGAAAAAATAAAATAAAATAAAAGGGGCTGTGATTTGTAAATGTTGTCTTCTTCATATACTTTTTGTAAATTTCCAGTGCAAGAAACGGCATATCGTTTGTGAGTTAAACCAGTTTACGTTGCGTTTCGGCGTTTCTCTTTAGAAACATCCGTCTTCTATTCTATTCTACACGATATGTGTTTGTCGGTTAGAGTTTGATATCGTCTAAGTAAGCAAACGAAATGTCGTTTGAAAGTTTAAGGGGTTGTTTTTTTTACATTTTTGAGTTAGGGTGACTTCAGTGATGATCTTAAGTTGAGTTTGAGTTATAACTTGAGTTGAAGCTGTAACTTGAATTTGGGTTTAGATGTGCACATGGGGTTTTATTCGTCTTGTCGTTGTGAATGCATAGAAAAAAATCATCTCAATCAGAATTAAAACGAAAAAGTTATGACATTTTTAAAAATAAAAAAAAATATTATTCATTAACTTGAGTTCGAGTTTATAAACTCGAGTTGAAGGGAAACTTGAACTCAAATTTAACCTCAAACTAGAGTTCAAACTCAAATTTAAACTCAAATTTTATAAAAGAACGTAAACTTAAATAAAATTATAATTTCAGCCTCGCAAAATAACAACCTCTAAGTTTGTTACATAGAGTATGGTGTCGTCTACGCAAACTAACTACATGTCGTTTATTGGTAGATTTATTCTATAAAATAAACCACTTTTGTTTATTCTTCTTATAAGAAATGATTTCGTTTAAGTAGGAAAAGGACATGTTCGTTTGTACTTTTTTTTGCTAATCATGTCGTTTGTACTTAGAAGGAAAATAAAATTTATCGACAATAGGGGACATATTTATTTTAAACAATTAAAAAAACGTAGGAAAAAGCTAGTGCTTCGTTTCCTTTATCATTTTTTTTAGGGATGCGGTAATTTAAATATTTTTCAATTACTTATACAACTAAATTCATCAAGAAAAATGACATTAATTTTCAACTTTTAATTATGTTATATAATTAAAAAAATTTGATAATAACTTACATCCATGTTACTATTATTTTAAAAAATTAAACTAAAACTTTAAAATAAAAAATAATTACTGTAAAAAAAAAGAGAAAGACACAGAAAACAATGCATAAAATATAACTAGTGTACATTGTTAATTAACGGTCACAACTCGTAAGAAATAAGATTAGAGGTGCCAGTTAGAGGCTCGATACTGTTGGCATGATCCTGACCTACTTAAATGTTCAAGCCGGTCTGGTTGGCCTAAGCTCCCAAACGGGGTTGAGGTTTTGAGCCCGAAACCTTATTTAGCCGGCCCAAACACGTCTTTATTAAAAAAAATTCTTAAAAAATACCTTATAAATTACGGTTTGACCCTAGGCCCTTCGGGTTTTAAGGCTAGACCTGGCAACACTCCTCTTTTTAGCTCAGCCCAGTGAAAATAACAGTCCTGGTCGACCTGGCCCGAAATTCCCATTCAAGCTGTCAAGTCCGGGTGAGCGACCTGAACTTTCACCTCTATTCAAGAACAATGAGGTTTGAAAAAAGTGGACTTATAATTCTACTTTCTAGCAAAAAAAAAAAAAAAAAGACATATTTTATCTCTAACAAAGAAAACACAATCAAAATATATTTCAAACTGAATTTGAAATCCTCACTTTTTGTTTAAAAAAAGGGAAAATGTTTCAAATTAACGAACTAAAAATGCCAACAATGATCTTTATGGTCTTGAACTATAGAGAATCCTCTACCAGTAAACATGAATGACGTTCAAAAAGAATAAACGTGAACAATACTCTTATAGATACACAAACAATTGAGCACATAATTCTTTTTTTTAAATGAAATAAAATAAAACATCTACAATTAATAGGAAAAATTCAATCTACCAAAATCGAGAGATCCAGGAACCAATACCATATAAAACACTGTTAAATAACAAATATATGGATTGAAAACACAACTTAACACTAAAAAAAAATCACAACACATAGAAAAAAAAAAGGACAAATGATTTCTAAAAATATTTTTTTTCTTTTTAGAGAATTATTGAATTTACTCTTAAAAGCGTATTAGTCTTAAATTTTTACATTTTGATTAATACTCTTTTGACTAATATAATTAATTGACTAAAAAGATATTAATTAAGAATAAGTGATAAAAATTAAGATTTGTGCACTTGAAAAGAGTATTTTCTCCCTTTTTTTTTTTTTGAAGGATCTAAAAATCTTTCTTACTCCTTGAATTAAGGGGAAAAAATGAAGCAAATGCTTTGAGAAAATAGTATTAGCAAAATAATAATAATAATAAATAAATTAAATAAATTAAATTAAAGAATTGTAAGAGACACTGCGTGCAAAGTATGAGGAGGCATTTGAGGGAGTTGGTGGTGGCTCTGATGACAAAGCCTCTTCCTTTCACTTCTTCACCATCATCACTCTCCTCCAACTCTCTCCCCTTCTCTCCTTCCTTTCTCCGACGACAACCTTCCTCCGTCGTTTCACGTCCCATCGCAACCATGACCAACACCAAAAACGACACCAATCAAGAACTGGACGCCATTTTCAAGCAGAAGAAGCTCGTCAGATCCAGAGTCCGCAAGGCCCTCAAAGCCATGGAACCCTCTATTCGATCCTACGAAGGCAAACCCATTATTTAACACACACACACACACACACGCACACACACATACCTTTTTTGTTCAATTTACAGAATACTGAAATGGGTCTTTTTTTTTTTTCCTTTGAATTATCAGATAATGCGATTCAGGATTTAGTATTGGATGCTTCATGGTTTAAGTCTTCTCTGAGATTGTGTGCTTATATAAGTTGCAGTGCTTTGCTTGAAGTTGATACTTCTAAAGTGTTGTCCCAGATTTCGGAAAATCTAGACAAAGGTTTGTTCTTCTTTGGTAAAGTTAGTACAGGATTTGATCTTGGCTTGTTTTGGATTGTTTCCAAATTGTTATATTTTTTTTTTTCGTTAGAAAGAGTAATGTTATTACGCAAAGAGTTTGAATCCCTCGCCCCCAAGTTCAAAAAAAAAAAAAAAAAAAAAACCCCCGGTCCTACATGTAACGCATTGAAATAGGAGGTGTAATACGATATTTATTCTATATAACATGATTTTCTCGGTCTTGTTTATAGTCCTGCCGGTCCTGCCATGAGACATATAGAAGTGAGAAGTATAACATAACATGAAATAGGAGGTGTAATACGATATTTATTCTATATAACATGATTTTCTCGGTCTTGTTTATAGTCCTGCCGGTCCTGCCATGAGACATATAGAAGTGAGAAGTATAACATAACATTTATTTCATTTTCTTGTAGCACTTATGTTGAGCATGTTTAACACAAGAAATTAGTCATCTAAACCTCCTTTCTTAAGTCAGTATCACATAGAACAAATGTTATGTTATATTTCTCCCTTCTATATCTATATTGCAGTTCGGTAGACAAAAGCTAGACCAATATTATACCTTTTAAAGTCATTGTTGTATAGAATAAATGTCATGTTACACGCCCTACTTCAAAATGTTATAGTGTAGGACGGTTTTTAAGACAAATCCAATGCTATTATTTTCAGCAAAGTGCTTACTTGTCGTGTGTTTTGGTTTTGAACTATCGTGTTAATATGTTTTGGTTTTGGTTTTGGCTTGTTTTGGATTGTTTCCAAATTGTTAATTTTTTTTTCCGTTAGAAAGAGTAATGTTATTACGCAAAGAGTTTGAATCCCTCACCCCCAAGTTCAAAAAAAAAAACTCCGGTCCTACATGTAACGCATTGAAATAGGAGGTGTAATACGATATTTATTCTATATAACATGATTTTCTCAGTCGTGTTTATAGTCTTGCCAGTCCTGCCATGAGACATATAGAAGTGAGAAGTATAACATAACATTTATTTCATTTTCATGTAGCACTTATGTTGAGCATGTTTAACACAAGAAATTAGTCATCTAAACCATTGTTACTCCTTTCTTAAGTCAGTATCACATAGAACAAATGTTATGTTATATTTCTCCCTTCTATATCTATATTGCAGTTCGGTAGACAAAAGCTAGACCAATATTATACATTTTAAAGTCATTGTTGTATAGAATAAATGTCATGTTACACCCCATACTTCAAAATGTCATAGTGTAGGACGGTTTTTAAGACAAATCCAATGCTATTATTTTCAGCAAAGTGCTTACTTGTCTTGTGTTTTGGTTTTGAACTATCGTGTTAATATGTTTGAAGATGGTAACGTGGAAGTGAGGAAGAAGAAGCTTTTTGTTCCAAGGGTGGAGGACAAGAACAGTCACATGAGAATGCTACACATCTCACGCATTGATGATCTCGTCGCAAATTCGATGGATATTTTGGAACCCGCTCCAGTGGATGCTGATGGAAATGAACGTGAAGATGGTATTCTTAAACTTGCTTTGTTATTCTAGTGAAAAATGTATGGCGCGTTTTTGTTTAGTATTGGATAATAGTAAGTATTTGAAAATCAGACCTTTATGCTGGTTTGGATTCCATAGCTTTTGTAATCTCAGATACCTGTTTGGTAACAATATGTGGAAGTACTTGAATATGGACTATCGGATCTGAAACTTAAAGTGCAAAACACACTTTTGGCTGTGAAAGAAAAAAATGCGGAGATTGGAAGATGTTTTTGTTATTTTCGACTATTACAAAGAATCTTAGAGCTGTACTTGAATCCAGAATTTGAAAACTCATCCTTCAAACGTGTTCTCTCTTAGGTCCCTTGTTTTCAAAAGATTTCAATACAGGAAGATGAATCCAAATAACAAAGAAAGTGATCTTCTATAAGCTTTTCATATGATTTATCAGAGACTAAGAGAAGACTGTGAACAAAAAATGAAACTGTAGCATTGGCTTATTGCATATGTGCTGCAGAGTTGGTTTAATATTGATGAAGAAACTCTTTCAATGCAGTCATGCAGGCAAATGAACCCGTTGATTTGTTCCTCTTACCTGGTATAATCTTTTTCTTATTTACTTAATCATTCATGTAGTAGCCTAAATTACAGTACTAATTAACTGTATTTGCTCTTATTTTTACTTCTAGGGCTAGCGTTTGACAGAACTGGAAGACGCTTAGGTCGTGGTGGAGGGTATGGTTATGGATCTTTTTCCACATAATATTTCTCATAGTATCTCAAGTTATACAAATTGTTTCGCATCACTAACAACAATGCCGGTTAAAATCATGCAGCTATTACGACACCTTCATTAGAAACTACCAAGAGCTAGCAAAAGCAAGAAATTGGGAGCAGCCCCTCCTTGGTACGTGCCATGAGCTCTCCCACGTCAATACGTGTTTTAGGCATGAAAGTGATTCTTACATGATAATTTTGGTACTTTACTGGAAAACTTGTGTTACATCGTTGCAGTTGCGCTCTCGTATTCCACACAGATAATGGATGAGGAAGTTATACCAATCACTCCAAATGACGTTCCAGTGGATGCTCTTGTGTCTGCCGCTGGCGTGATTCCCATAAGATCAGCTGCCTTAGAAAGGTATCTCCTAAGTAAATTCTCCTCCACATTATTGTTCTAATGGTTTTGGCCTTTTTACTTTCTCTTCGTTTTGGTGTAATTCAATTGCAGAATGAGGATTTGAAATTGGACCTGACAAATCAACCTGAATACTTCCCTTTGATGGGAGCTTTGGTCATTGGTAACACCGATATGCGGATAACATATGATCCCAATATGCTTGAGTGAGACGCAGGGGATTTATGATTAATTAGCCAATAGCTATATATAGTTGAAAGGCCAAGATGAACCTCCACAAGGTTGTACGTGATATGACTAATTAGCTATATAGACTGATCAGGAATGCTATGTTACAGATTTACGAAAATACTAAAACTCTACAATTTCAAGAAATGCAATTTCCTTTGAAACATCAATTCTTTGTGTGAAGTTGCTCTAACTAGACTATTTCAATTTTCAAGATTGTGGCCTAAGTGTCGATCCTTTGTGCAGAGTTGTTTTTCATCTTTAAGAGCTTATTTGGTAGGAAGGAATCGATATGGGGATTATTGGAAGGATTTCAGAATGTACGGTTATTTGGTAGGAAGGACGAGAAGAGGGAATGGTTTGGTTCGGGTGAACGATTCAAAATCCTTCAAAGAACCTCAATTTTGATTCCTTCCAATTTGGAGGAATTCATGGATGGAACTCATCCATTTAATCAAACTATGGTGTCAAATTTTTTTATTACTTCTCGTTAGTCGTTATTGAAGAAAAGCGGACCACGTAAGGACAAGATGGTAATTTCCTTCCCTTGCATATTGTACCGAGTCCTACCAAAGAAGGCCTAAGCTTCCCCATATTCTGTTCTCTCACTTTGTTGGAGTTTCTCACCTCTATTTCACGCCTAATAATATTCAGTCCTTTCTTTTGCCTCTTAAGCAATCGAAAGGGTCAAACCCAACAATAAACAAATGGGAATTCACCAGTGACACAATATAATAAATATGAAATCCCAAGTGTTATAGTATTTACATGATGTATTATAGTTATCTGCATATGGTTTTCTACGTTATCCAGGATTAGTAATGGGTTTTCCCCAGACGTTGCTTGTTAGTTGCTGATTTCATAGTCCCCAATACAACTTGGTCGTTGATAAAATTTCCTCTTTATGAGGTGAGGGCATATGTAATGTAACTTCTAAGAACTTCCTAAATTACCTCGTCAAATTTACAGTTTGCGTCTCAACTCTCAAATTCATTTGCTTTCTTGGTCATCAAACATGCGGGTTTGGTTTTTTTTTTTTTTTTTTTTTTTAAGTTTCAGAAAGAAGAGAGCGGCATTCCACCGAATCGCAGGATACTTGGAATCGACCAACACGCTTGACTACCATAGCGAGAGATTTTGGCAAAGGGACGAGCACCCTAACCATTGCGCCTGTTAGCACAATGGCGTCAAGTGGTTGTTGTAACACTAGGCACTAGCCAAGGAGAAAAAAGAGAGAAATCAGAAAGCTATGTCGTTGAACATGTCAACTAGAAGGAAAATGCAGCATTACTGTCCAATGGAATACGTTCCCACGATTTATGAGCTCTTGACCATGTCAATGACAAATGTTGTCAAGGTCTGTTAGCAGTTGAGATGTCATTTTAGTGCAAGATGTTGTCAAAAGCCAACTAAACCACTACCAATTTCCACGAAAGGACTTTTCTACTATGACAATTAATAATAAACTCCTATCATGTTCACATTATTATCGATCAAACAAATCAAAAATGTCTCTGTTATCTCTCGTTGTTGTTCTAACTTTCTAGGAATCCTTAAAACCGTGTAAAGAAAAGTTCAGCATGAGAAAAAGACGACTATAAATACAAGTCTTTTTAACTTGCTAAACTACCAGAATTAGTTTCTGAAAGCAAAGAAAAACTCTTAGCAGACATGGTTAGCTCATCAAGCTCAGGCTCAGCCTATAACCTTGTATTTTGCCTGCTACTCTTACTGCTCATTCCGTTTCCTTCTCACTCATCCGACCCCGATCCGTTACAGGACTTTTGTGTGGCGGATCTAACCGCCACTCCATCCACTAATGGCTTTCCTTGCAAACCCGTCTCGGCAGTCACTTCAGAAGACTTCTTCTTTGATGGACTAAGCAAACAAGGGAACACAAAAAATGCCTTTGGCTCCAGTTTGACCCCTGGGAACGTCCTTGCTTTCCCGGGTCTCAACACGCAAGGGATCTCGATGAACCGAGTTGACTTTGCCCCCGGCGGTCTGAACCCTCCCCACTCACACCCTCGCGCATCCGAGACCGGGGTGGTGATCACAGGGAAGCTCCTCGTGGGGTTCGTGACGACGAACAATGTTTTCTACTCCAAGGTTTTGACTGCTGGGCAGATGTTTGTCGTTCCTCGGGGACTAGTCCACTTCCAACAGAATGTTGGAGAAGGAAATGCCCTTGCCTTCACTGCCTTCAACAGTCACTTGCCCGGCGCGGCTTTGGCCGCCACAACTCTCTTTGCTTCAAAACCACAAGTTCCTAATCAAGTGTTGACCAAGGCCTTCCAAGTGGAGGATGACATAGTCAACACCATCAAATCCAAGTTTGGTGCTTGATTTTTACGTTTTGATCATCAAGATTTCCCTTTGTTTTAAAAACTTTTTTTTTTTTTTTTTTTTGTATTATTCTTCGAATTGTTTCTGCCCAAGTTCTTCTGTTTTTATTCTATGCATCTCATCTTTTCCTCTGTCAGTCATCCCTCTATAGTGTTCATTATTGAATAAAATGAAATACATACAAACTACTTCACTTTTGACTTGAGTCTTCTTTTTTTTTTTTTCTTTCTTTCTTTCTTTTTTTTTTTCTGCTGAATTCAGAACCCTATCTCCAATTTGGATATTTCAAATTGTGTTTAATCAATTAATGGATTAAGGTTTTGAAGCACGAAAGAATAAAAGAAATTGAAAATTTTTTAAATGACATGATATAATATGTTTGATTAGACACTACATAGAACACTAAAAATTGCACATAAAATCTTTTGTGAAGGATTATTTGAAGCCTTACATGTCCAAACCAGAGAAAAATTATAACTCAAATTAAACTACCTTGGAAATGCGTATAATTTACATCAATACACGGGGTCTGTTTCGCAGAGCTTTTATTTTTGCTTTTAATCAGTAGAAGAAGAGAAGTAAAAGCTATGGCTTTTCAGCAAGTGTTTAAAACTAAGAGCTTAATGGGCAAAAATAATTTTTAAATTTTCTAATAAGCAATAAAAGTGTTGGAATTAAGATTATAATGTCTTAATTAAATTCTTATATATAAGTTTCAAAGTCCTTTCAGAAGTGATTATTTTAGAAGCCACAATTTCTGATTTTGACTGAAAACTCTTCTGAAAAGTCAAAGTACTTCTGACAGATCATCCAAATACTTCTAGAAGCAACTTTTGGACTTAGAAAGCCAAAAACAGCTATAGATATATGTTGTATAGATATGTGTATATATGAAAAGTAAAACATAATGAAGAAGGGAGAAACAATAGACAGCACAATCCTCCTCTCGTTAGCACAGTTTGAAAGTTTGAACAGATTTTTATATAGGTACAAATACAACGAGTACAGAGTATCCAGTCAGATGATACACGCATAGAGATTAGATGAACTCTACTTTCTATTGTATTAAAATCATAAGAATGGTGATACATTGAGAAATAAAAAACACATTTCAGCATTAGATGATACAGAGAATCATTAAAGAACAAGTTCCTACAAATTTAAGGAAGACGAAATCAAGAATGGTACCCCGAACTATGTTGGTCTTTCGATACTATCACCAACCTGCATGTGCAGCCATTCCTGATGCGAGCCTTGAACGAAATCCCGGGGTGCTTGTGAGCCAAATAACAGTCCTGTAGCATCAAATGCCTGTACACCAAGTTGAGACAGTTTTTTCAACTGGTAAGAATCGAGCTGCAGAACAAAATATTTTGAAAGGAAAAGGCGGCAGAACAAACCGTTTAAACAAAATACGCTCCATTGTATTGATAGAATCATTGATAAATTAATCAGAAAATTATTGAACTTAAGTACAAGATTATGACTCTAAATAATGTCTTCATGATATTAAAAAAAAAAAAAATATATATATATATATATATCATAGCCGTAATGAACATGGCAATAATCGCAATAGGGACTCGAGGAACATCCCAAATAAGGAAAAAAAAAGGGTATTGAAAGGGTTGTGGCTCTAGATATTTTTGCTGTCTTTTGAGGAAATCGTGAATTTCACGAGGAGATTAATAGACATCTAGGAGCTTGGAAAACATGTCTAAATCCCAGAGCAGTTCATGGATTTTCAGTCACTAAAAGAAGAACCGTTGAAGAATGTTTTGGGAAAGCCGTTAAAGAGATTAATAAACGGTATCACTTTTCAGAGAAAGTTTTTTGATAATTCCCATGATTCCAATTATCAATACTTGTTCCAGCACAATATGTACATATATTTGGGCGTCAAGAAAAAATTCTCTTTATATTCTTCCCTAGGGTCAGATTCAAAGTTCCTGGAGCTTCAGGCTTATACAGAAAAGCACCCAATTTTCTTGTGCATTCATCGGAATTCTTAATGTTGAAGACGGGCAAGAAAATAAGAACTATGTTCAAACATAAGCCCTTCAATGGAAGGATTAAGAATAGCATTTGAAGATTATCTACACTCTCTTCCATGAAAAGGAGAGAGAAACAGATTATTATGCACGTATAAATTGAAAAGAACTTCATGTGCTTGGAGATTTCCTTACATCTTTTGATGGAAAGCCTTCAATGGTCGGATTCAAATTCATTCTTGAATTTACCGCTTCAAGCTTCATTGACAAGAACTATTAAAGGGGAAAAAAATAAAAAATTCCAGTTAATCAGGAAATAATCATGTTTGTTAATAGTGCAAAAGCAAATGAAGTGGTAAAATTGCTTTGCTAATACCTCAACTTGGTGCTGCAGCGATTGGATGTAATTAATTATCTCATCAAGGACAAGTGCTTTGCCAATAACCTAATCATAAAAAGCATATAACCACAACTAAGTATACTGTATATTCAAGGTACCAACTAGAATCTCTTTTGAATTATATGAATTTAAAGTTAAGCTGTAAGTTGAAACCCCTTTGATCACATGATTTAAACTTGATCCAAAACATTAAAAAGTAAATCCAAAGAAAAGACACCAAACTCCATTATTGGTTTCCTATGCTAAATTATATGGCTTATACCTGAATATGCTAAAGTAATAAAACTAAGACAGAACAAATTACCTTGTTACATCCAGGAACCAAATCTTGTAGAAGTTTCATCCTCTCACTAATTTTTTCTCTTCTTGCCTGCCAAAACAAACATATGAGCAACAATACGTATGATATATAAGAGTTCAATTTTATTTTATTTTTTTTATTTTATTTTATTTTATTTTTTGTAATCCAGAACTAGACTATCAGAAATTACAAGCTACGAATGACTTTATGAGCATTACTCTCTCAGCCAGACTGTGACTATCGGTGGCTTGGCCCCGTCTCGCTCTGACGTGAATATAATCTTGTTTAGGCGGCTCGGAAGGTTTCATTTCTTTTTCAGCTGGCTTGTCACCGCCCACTGAACTAGCTTCCGCTTCAGCTTTCGGACCGCCATTTTCATATTTTGATCCTACCAATTTTGTTCTTTTACCATTTGTATTATTCTGTTCCAAAAGAAGAGGAAATCAGTAGAGTACATCACCGAAAAGATTAAGGCTCAAACAGTACCAAGCAAAGCACAATCCTTGTGATTTAGTCTCATACATCTTAATCCTCTAAAACATAAGACGGATGTCTCATTTTATTTCAGTCTCAATTTTCAATAAAACATAATAAGACAAAAGTAGAGATTGTATAAACATCTAAGATGCCTTAATCACAAACAAATAGCACAAACATCAAACCGATTAAGATCAACACAAAAAACATAACAGAATATAAAAATTCTTAATCTAAGTGCCCATTGAAATTTATTCAGCCAAGAATTTCATTATTCACTTGCCAATTGAAAAAAAAAAAACAAAAAAACAAAAAAACAAAAAAAAGCCAAAAAAAAAAAAAAACAAGAATTCCCCTTTATGACCAAAATCAACATATAATCTTCCAAATATTTATTTTAATCTTCCAAAATACATAATTGAGCCAAAATAACGACCAATGTGAGAAAAATAAATAAAAAATGAGTAAAGATTTTCTCTTCATAACTCAAACCCACATACAATAATCTCTCAAGGTTTGATAATTTATTTAGATTTCAACTCCGGACCAACATTTCAGAACTAAAAACCAAAATTGAGCTCAAGGAATCAGTCAAGGAAAAAAAAAAGGAAGAAGAAGAAATTTAACCCCAAAAAATCCGAAAAAAGAAACCAACCAAATCATTGGCACTACTAGTTGAGACCAACTTGGAGGACTCGTCCTCGGAGCTGACATCTCTTCTCTTCCTTCCGCCGCCGCCACCGCTCTGCTCGGTGACCGTCGATTCCTCCATCGACCCGTCTCGATTCGCGGAGCTCTCTCCGAACCCACCCGGGTTCTGGCCCATGTTCCCCATTCGGGGCCCCGACCAAATCTCCGCCAAGCTATAGGCGGATGGGTTCGCCGCCGAGAAAGACGACTCGCTGAATAGTGGATGATCCATTTTTTCCCCGTTGTTTCTTCTCAGCACTTGAAGTTCTTCAGAATTCGGACACAAGTTTGAGCTTGCGATTTTTGTGGGAGTGTGGATGGGTATTTAAGGAGTGATTAGAAGAGTGAGAAACTGGGTCTTTTTCATGAGAATGAGACGGGTGGAGAGAGATAGAGAGCATTAATGGACGTGGAGAGAGATAGAGAGCATTAATGGACGATGATGAGAGAGAGAGAAAGAGAGAGAGGAGAGAGAGAAGAAAGAAGAAGAAGAAGAAGCAGATGAAGCAGAGAGTGATCCTTTTGGCTGGATGGGGAGGCAGGGGGGTGCGCATTGCGCCCACCTCGTCTTATTACCAGATAAAAGAGAAACAAGGGGATTTCTTTTATTTTTATCTTTTTTTTTTCTAAGTTAATCCTACGGTCCAAACTTTCACAATTAATTTCACTCCGTTAATTGATTTTTAAAATATTTTAAACTTAAGACTCATATGGTTCGAATTTTTAATTTAAATTGAGCTGTGACTTTATGTGAGAAATTTTTACTACAGTAAAAAAGTTAAATGTGATTGTTTCTGAGAGTTTTTTACTGTAATAAAACTCAAATCGATAAAATAAATGAGATCTTAATCGTAATCTATCAGTTTCTTTTAGTTTTAATCCTTTCTATGAATAAAAATATAAGTATTTTGTTAATAGAAATAACAATCTATTGATATAATGTGATTTAGATAAAGTTAGCACTATGTTAATGGAACATTATTATGTATTTCGTCGCCCTTTTTTTTCATCCAACTAATAGAGGGACTAAAATTGAAAATAAAATGATATTTCCAGGTTAAATTAAGGATCAAAGTTAAGACTGAGGGTAAAGTTTTGGATTTTGATACATATCTCTGTAAACTCCGTTTGGTACCTAGATTCATTTCCTCATTCGAATCATGGTTCGTGGTTCACCACAGTATTTTCTCTCATAAATAATACACATAAATCAAAAATGATTCTAATCATATGGTTTGAATCCATGAACCAAACGTCACGTATTTTACTTCTTAACTTGTAAATTTACTACAATGCACCTATGTCTAAATGGTTGTTAAATTAGGGAACCAAAAGGTCAGTTATTGCACTATGTGATGACAAAAAAGCACACTTCTGGTAAAAAAAATTCTTAAATATCAATTCTAAAACTTAACATAAACAACTTGAATTTCTAAATCAATCCTAAAATCCAACCAAAAAAAGTAAGAATTGAATATAGTACAACCATTTAAGCTAATTACAAGATAAATTATCAAAATTAAAAATTTAAAAGGTAAGTTGTTAAAATCCAAAAAACTTCGGAGAGCAAAAGTGCTAAAAGCCATGCGCCCATTTATGTAGTAAAAGAGAAGGGGGTGTGTTTGACAACTTTGATTAACTGTGTCCTAGAATGGTTTTGCAAAAGTTGAATGAAAGTACTTGTTGCGTGTTTACCAAAATAAAATTTTTCCTAAATTTATATCTTTAATTCAACAAATAAATTATCTTCTTAAAAAATTAATCGTAATTTAAATATTTATTATAATAATAGGATAATAAAATAGTAAATATAAATTACATAATTATCTAAAATATAAAATAAATTGTCAAATTTTGAATAAAATAATAAAATAAAAAATTAAGAGATACAACTTAAAATATATTTATTAATTCTAATAAAAAATAAAGTAAAAAATTATTATATTGAAATTAACAATAATTAGGTGAATATTATAATATTAGGTAAATAAAATAATAAATATAAGATTTGTATTTTATTTCTAATTATATATTTATTAATAAATTAGGGGTAAGATTGTAATTTAATACTAATTACTATTAAGATTGGGAATCCTAATCTAGATGTGGGCATGAGATTTTTAATATCATTTTTTAATTTTAAATTTGAGTGGGATTCACTAATTTTTCTCTCATTTTAGGATTTAAAAAATCAAATAAATATAAGATTGACTCTCATTTCTCACTCACATTCTTTAATCCTCCCGATAATTTCAATTGTATTGGAATCCATTCTTTTCCTGGATTGAGAAAAAAAAAAAAACAATCACGTGAAAGTAAAATGTTGCAAGAAATAGTCTTTCGGAAAAAGAAGAAGCAAACAAATAGTATTGTCTTATCTTAATTCTCCAACCAAAGTTTATGTTCTTTTTTTTTTTCTCCTCTTCTCACTTTCATTCATATAAACATCGATGAAGATGATATTGTACCTAATATTTACTGTTTCAGGTTTTTCATGTATTAATTAATCATCTGTATGATTTTATGAAGTACGTTTATATTGAAGGGCATTTCTAATAGGAATCATAATGGAAATTATGTATTAACATTGTGCGTTCTTCAATATGAAGTCGTATTAAAACAGCATGAAAATTTAATAAATTCAATAAAAAATGAATAAATTATCTGCACAATATTGATATTTTTCTCATATATTATTTCAAAATAGAAAGTCAACTATTTATTCATGTACCTTTACCCATAACAGATGTACTTTAGCATCGAAAATAGGTAGCGCAGGGGAAACTTAAAAGTGGAGTGATATTACTCGTGTAACTAACAATTAACAAGGACAATAATCCAACATGATTCATAAAAGAAAGGACAATAATCCAATACAGTCATGGTAACTAATAACGTGATTTTTACTCGAAAAAAAAAATCAACGTGTGTTTTTAAAGTATTAATTTCAAAATTTGACTTTTAAAAATTAGTGGTTGATTCGCTGCGTGGATAAATCTAAAATGATATAAAAGTTTATGAATTGATCCGTTATTTAGTTTGAGGATTGTGGAGGGTTTAAACCTGAAATATAGTTTGAATTTTTCTTTGATTGCACAATATTTTGAACTTAAATTTAGGTTTAAGGTCCATTTGAAATTTAAAATTGATGGTTGAATTCAATTTTACCCCTCTCCGCTAAAGTTTTTAAGGTTCTAATCTAATGTACTGTTCAAAACTCAATTCAAAAGTTCTCACAACCCATTTTCACTCACTTTTTTTTTTTTTAAACTCATAGCTCTAATAATGTGACCAAGTGTTCGTTCAAACTTTATTTCATGTTTAAACCTTATGCTACCAAACGCTAATTCGAACTACAAAAAAACTGACATATAGATTCAAATCTAAAAGTTCAAATCTAACTTACAATTTTAGCACTTTTGTCATTAAGACGTCAATTGAATAACCCACATGACTGCTTGATAACTGGGCTGGTCGGGGATGGGGCTCGCCAGAGGTGGAGAGGAGGAAGAAGAAGGCCATTGGTTGAGGTTTTGATGGCATTTTTGTCTTTTACTTGAAAAAAGAAGGCACGTGATGCTCACATACGGGAATCTGTTAAAAATTTGACAGAAATGACAAAATTGCACCCGTTTAAAGAGATTTGGGGTTGATTTGCCAAAAAAAAATTAAGAATCAAACTGTCACTTGCTAAAAAAGTTGGGGACAATTTTTGTAAATTACCCTTAAAATTAAGTAAACTAGAACTTAAATTTTTTAAAAACATAATAAAAAAAGAGGTAAATTTTTTTCTTGCGCTAACCGGGTATTGCCTATTTCTTTACTTGCAACCCCTACATCGGCATCACCCTTCTATGTCGTCTTTAGCTAAAGAAAAAAATATAGAATTTACCCTTAAAAGTGCATAAGTTTAAATATTTACTTTTTACTCTTAATAAATATCTTTTTATTAGAGTAATTATTTAACTAAAAAGATTATAAATTAAGAGTAAAAGGTAAAAATCTTGATCTATGTACTTTCAAAGGGTATTTGTCAAGATTACCCGCTTAGTTAAATAGTTATGTGACCCAAAATTGATGTTTCATAATTTTATTAACTGAAGTAATTATTTAACTAAAAAGATTATAAATTAAGAGTAAAAGGTAAAAATCTTGATCCATGTACTTTCAAATGGTATATATCAAGATTACCCGCTTAGCTAAATAGTTATGTGACCCAAAATTGATGTTTCATAATTTCATTAACTGAAGTATTAAAACTGTAATTTATAATAAGTTCAGAGGTAGTTTTGTATTATTTTGAGTTGTATAGACAAGCTGAGATAAACTCAATTTTTGTAGTCGTTAAATCTGTATTAAAAACTGTCAATTATGTGTACAAATCTCATTTGATTTAGACCAAATTTAACAGTCAAAAAACCGATCTTACCAATAAGATTACCTATTAGAAACAGTTGCTTAAATCAACATTTTTCAAACTTTATCCCTTGTGAGCAGTCAGTAATTTAAGCCCCGTTCACTTCACCGATTCGAGTTTAGAATTTGAGTTTTACTACAGTAAAAAGTTCTCAGAAATAGTCACATATAACTTTTTTGCTACAGTAAAAAGCTCTCACATAAAATTACATCTCAATTCAAATTATAAATTTAAATCAGCGAAGTAAATGGGTCCTCAATCACATAGCTACAGTGAAAACACACCCCTAAAAAAAGAGCTACAGTGAAAACATTTTTTTTAAATTTTAAGTATGATCTTTTGGGAGACAGTAAAGAAAATGAAGTGGTGAGGCTTTATCGGAGGATCTAGTGATAGTTGGACATAGGCACACTCGCAAGAGTAGTGATCGATTCGGTACTCGTTACATCATAAGTCACGTGTCAAAATATTTTTAAGGCTCGTCGAGTTAAAACGCAATTTTATGTGAGAATTTTTTATTGTAATAAAAAAATTAAATATAATTATTTTTTAAAATTTTTTATTATAATAAAATTCAAATTATAAATTTAAATTAATAAAATAAATGAGATCTTAATTTATTAACGACGGTGAGCAAAATTTCAAGAATTAGGTGGACGAGCGAAAATGAACGACAGATAACAGCGCGTGTAGATACGTCCTAAATTCAGTATCGTGAAGGATTGCGATGTTGCGAGACATGGGATGGGATCACACGCCTGACTGAGTGCATTGTACAAAGAGATCGGAGAGGAGTGTGGGGTCAAAGGTTGCCTTTGCTATTATCCTACGCTTCTTACTTCTTTCTCTCTCTTTTTATTTTTATTTTTTTATTTGTTTATCATCAAATATTAAAAATAAATCAAATTAACATGAACGTTTTTATCAATTTAGGTCTTGTTCATTTCGCCGATTCGAGTTTAGAATTTAAGTTTTGCTACAATAAAAAGCTCTCAGAAACAGTCATATCTAACTTTTT